AGTATAAAATAAAAGTTTTAATTTTTAATCATCTGTTGTCTCTTAATGTAGATAAAATGTAGTTTCTAAGTACTTTTTACTGAGCTCTACCTCTAGCTATTAGTTTTACAATTAGATTTGGTACTTCACATAAAATGTGTTGGAAAGTGTCCTGTAGTATTGATGCTGGCTGGGTAGCAGGTGTAGTATTAATGCTGATGTGCTACGTTGTGAGTCTGAACTCCCAAGTCCCTTTTTATTTATTGAAATGTATTTTTAATAACCTTTCATTTGTAAAGGGTTGTGGGAATGTGCGTTTTTTTTTTTTTTCTGTGCTCGTGGAGATTTGTTTGCTCACCAGATGATGATTACTAAAAATCTAAATACATATTTAGTAGTCCCTAAAGACAATTTAAAGTTAACTAGGATTACCGCTTGGTGGTTGTATACCTTTGACAACCAGTCAAGTTCACGGGCATGGGAGAAGTCTGACTTTGAACGTTGGCCGCCAAAATCTAAATTCGTTTATCCTTGAGTCCAAAAGAACATTTCTGCCCAAAGTGAAGAAATTTCCCTCAAGCTTTCCAGAGATACCGTGTTCAAGAGAATGGGATGGATATGAGGTCAGTGACCTTTGATCACGAAAATCTAAACAAATGAACAGACAAATGTATGGATGGACAACCTGAAAATGCATCTTCTGCTGCAGCTATCACTGGGAAGACTGAAGTAGCTTGTAGAACGGTTTATGAAATGCAAACCTAAAATACAGTTCTGCTGGATGTCAACAATGGAAGATTTTATGAGAAACACTCCTGTTATAATATAGACAGCTAAAAAAAAAAATTAAAACTTAGTTCACAGGACCTGAAGGCAAGAAGCACTTGAACCTCGTGGGATTTATGCTGCCGCTCGTAGCCATGAAGCTTAGGTTTATGTGTCTTTCAGGAGCCAAAGAAGGGTAATAAGCAGAATACTTAATATATATTCTCAAACAACATACAAATCATGCCATAGGATTAAGAATTATTATTAAACCAACATTATTATTATTATTTAGGGATCGGGGTCATTCAGCATTACCCTACTTTCTCATTATAGCTCCATCTTGTGGTCAAAGAATAACAAAACCTCCAGAAGTATAAAAGTCAAAGCCGAACACCTTTACAAGAGTTTGTAGCCCTTGTACATCACTTTGTGTTGCATAAAATTAAATGCTTAAATGGTAGAATTAAAAAATGTAGAACAAAGTATAAAACTTGGTAATAACTTGAAGTCCTAAATATTTTTATGTACTTCAAGATAAAATATTTGAAATGTGCAATAAGCATGTAAGCAAATCTCTGTAATGGTACAGGACTTTCATACAAGGCTGTAAGTGCCATTAATTTCTTGCAGTGGGGAAAAATAAGTTACTATACAGACAGTTCAGGGCCACACACAACCTTTTATAACTAGCTTAATTCAAGCTTGCTCCTGTTAACATCCCAATGTGTGGATTATTATGCCTTCTTTCAGTGCCAGCGGGTCTTCCAGAAGAAATTCTTGCAAAGTGGTCTGTCCTGGGCAGCGATGTGGTTTCTGAAGGTCCTCCCCACCAGCTTCTTACTAAGGTACAGTATGTCACGGGATTCGTGTACAGTATCTAAGCTGCAGCCCAGTCATTCCTGAGACATCCACTTCACCTTTGGCAGTTTCTCAACTAAGTTATCTGTCTGTATATATATATGTGTGTGTGTGTGTGTGCGTGCGCATATATATATATCTATATCTCAGTGGCAGTTTGTAAATCCTTCTTTATCAACTCTCTCCATCTGCTAAAAGCTGCTAAAAACTTTATGATCTAAATCCAATGTTGTTGGTTTTGTTTCTTCCTTCTCTTCAAAACTTTTCTTGTCCTTCTACTTTGTGTAGCTGTCTCGACTAACTCTGAAATCAGGAGCTTGCCAGCCAGCAAGCCAGTCAGTCATAACAACATCAATAGAAACAAGCGCCATATAACATACTAAAAACCTTCTCAGTTATATTAAATGCAGTTGCTTTCAAAATAGTTAAAACTTCTAGAAAATCACCATTAATGTTTGGTTGTAGTTATAACATGTAGTTTGCAATTTTTGAAATATTTTGCTTTTTAAATTAAGCAAGTTCAGTTCAAAATTGTGTTAAGAGCTTGTACCAGTCAGTATTTCCATCTGTCAGGATTTAGTAACATCTAAATCAGAAAATTAATAGATTTGCTTTAGTTGCCAGGCCAATGTCACCCAATTCTTATGAAGCCAAACCAGCCAGTCCTGATCAAGCAGATTAGCTGGGTTTTTGAATGTTTATGGTAATAATAAATTGACCCCCCACCCCAACCTTAAATGTTATTGGTTGTTTAATCCTGAATATAATGTTATTAAGAAAAAACAAAAGATTTGAAGCCAAATAATCAGGGATTTTTTTTGTCATGCAACCAAGACATTTTCAGCAACTATGTAAAAATATGGTATTTGGTTCCATCATTTTGTGTGCATCAAAAACCCAGGAAACAGTTTGATCTTGAGGAAACCTGGTTGCAGCTTGTCGCCCAGTCATCCTCCTGCTTTATTATGCATCGTCAAACTGTCGGGTGTCAACCTCACTGCTTGTTCGGTGTGCAGATGACTCAGCGGCTTCATTTTCCACGTGCACTGCCTTTACTGAACTCTAATAGCCTGTTGTGTTTGAATGTAACCTCCATTTTGACAGGAACAGACATTTGTTTTTGTTTTTTTTAAACAAAGGGATGAATCCAAACTATGGAGTAGCACTAATTTGTTAGAGAATGGACAGTGAACCTCACTGATAATAGTGTGGCCTGTTTATGGTATTTGAAGTGCATGGTGTTAAGCGCAGGCCAGTGCTTATAATGTTTGTCCTGCTGTGGTCCCCTTCAGGATCAAAGCTTTGAGGTGAGGAGTCAAACCAGGAAGTCTCTGAGTTTCCCAGGATGGCTAAAGAGAAGCTTCACGTAAACATCGGCATGGCAAACACCAGAGCTATCACAGCACAGGTGCACTAAGGTGAGGCTTTGTTTACTGTTTAACAGCAGGTGTAATCACAGCTGTGGCTGGCAGCTACAACATCCCTCACTGCTGTGGAGGTGATACTAGAGCTGTTAGCATGTTTTTCTTTCGGTAGCTGACAGTACATCTGAGAATCCCCTGCCAAAATCTTAGAGAGCAGCAGGGAGTACAGTGCTTAAAGGTGTAAATGCATTTTATGCTGTTAGAGAGCTAAGTGTACACAGATGGCATGAAAAAAAAGGGGAATGACATGCAACACAGGTCCCAGCTAGATGTGAACCAAGGGTGTTGAGGTTCATTGTCAGCACCGTAACACTTCATGTAATAGTATCAGCTTGTGATCCCTCATCACAGGTTGAATGTGTGAGAGAGGTGCGAGCGTTTTAACCAGGTTGATCGTCAGGTACAGGCTCGCAGATGTAACCCTATTCACTAGTTCACAGGAAAAACCAAGTAAGCTACATTTGAGTGGCAGACCACTGGTTTACTTCTCATCTGTCCCATCAGAACTACTGACTGACTCAGAAACTGGACATTGTATGCTATGTATTAGGAGAGCACTATAGTAAAACAGTGATAAATGAGTTTTTGCCGAGAATGTAAGCAACTCTTTG